TATTTATATTTATCATTAGTATCTTGCTGTAGATTGTTCTATGTTTTGAGGCTGTTCACCAATATTTCTTCGATTAAGCATTGTCTTGTTTTCTTATGACCATATAATTGTAGTTTTTGTGGAATTACTGAATAACTGACCAGTTTAAAAACCACATTTTAAAACTTAACATGCATCTAATTTCTTTTTCTGATTTGCACTTTTTAAAACTATACAACAAATTTGTCAGTGTGAAAATGACACTCCAGTCGTCTATGCCATCATTGAACACAACAGAGAGACTGAACAGGGAACAGGAACCATCCGAGGGAGCTCACAGAGCACTGAGTATGCAGAGGTCAACCTGAATACTCAGAAAGAGCAGGAAGGAACAGATATTAAGTCTGAGGTCCAGGAAGAGCAGGAGCAGCATGTCAATGTCTTGGGGGTCAAGCCTGGACCCAATGATAAGAGGAAGGAAACCCAGAAACCTGGTAGTGGAGATGTGTCTGGATGTGGCTTCAGAGCCCAGGAATTTACAGGGACTCAGAAGAGAAAAACTGAAATTTTGGTTAGGGCTGCACGGATATTTCGTTTCAGCATCGTCATCGCGATGTACGCACGTGCGATGTTAAGTAACGCAAAATAAATTAAGCAGCGTGGACAACGCTTTTGGTGTTTTTGCTAAACTAACAAATGTCACGTTGTTCTTATTCTTAAACAATCCACAAAAGTGTGTCATATAATTTAGGTTAATCTAAAGGTTTTTGGATACAAGGCCGACACGCACCTTTGCACCGGCAGCTAACAAACATGTCGATCACAGAACGAACCACCGATCACAAACATTCTCGATCTCAGCGCTAACCATTTAACACAGCGCTATTTTGTCACTCATGTTAACCCCCATATGCGATAAGCTTCCGTAGTATATGTATAGCTCATGCACTGTTTAATACTGATTAAGTAATCATTACCATTATATTTGGGCAAAATCAGCTCAATCTTTCTAGAATGATTAATTATACCAATAGAGCAGCGGTCACTAACAGGCGGACCGCGGCCGGGGTCCGGACCCAGAAGCTGAACCATGAAGACCCGGACCGATAGCCAAAATAGAAAGTTATGATTTAAAATCTGACGGGACGCTTCTATTTTAACCGGCGCGACGTTTATAGTCTTTTCGGTAGTTGTTTAGCACTAGAACCGCCGCTTCCCACGCCAATGAACGTCAAACGCCTTTAACCGCGAAGCAAGACGTAGTTCGGACAATGCCTCCAGATGCTCTTGTGTTTTGTTTGTCTGCGCTAATGTGCCATTAGTGTTAATAGCAGCAGCGAAGCGACCAAAAAGCCGTAATGTTCCTAAGAGTGTCTTATCTGTCCTAAAATCATATAGCTGAAACGTTTTCCAACACAGCATGTATTATATAACATGTTGGATAAGTACAGTAGACGTAGTTTATTGGTGATTTCATGTTCATGGAAGATTCCCCTTTTTAACAACTGTATAAAGTAATGTTATCTGTTATTTAAATCAACTCAGGTGAAACAAAAATTGTACGTTTTCAGCATCTGGCATGCCACTCAAGATTTCAGAGTCGCGCAGGAAATCTTACGGCAAATCTATATTATTCCATTATAAACCTAAAATAAGCTACGTCAAAAGTGTATCTACACGGTTAAAAAATAAAAGCAGACTATTTACAAGGTAGGAATTGTTACATATGTATGCAGACATCTCGAATTGAATTGTACTGAATTAACTTGATTTGACAGTCAGGTACTGATTACATGCAATGCTGATACAACTGATAGGTTACTTAAATATATATCACACTAAATAGTTAGACATGATCTTACGGACCTTTGCTTCAATACATTTTCTCTAACTGGACCTCTTTACATTTTAGTTGAATATCCCTGCAATAGAGCTATTGAACTAATTAGATTTTTTTAAATCCCAATATCGC